GGCTCCTGATCAGACGGGACATGACCGGGCCATGGCCCACCACTACCACACGACGGGCACAGGAACCGAAGAGCCACCGTACGCAGGCGGCTCTCCTCTTCCCCAGGCCAGACCTGGAGAAGCCCAAAAACAAAATCTCTACCGGGAGACCAACCGACCCCCAAACCGATCGAATCGCTCGGGGAAAATGCCAAGACACAGGTAGGAAGTGAAGGGACGCCCCATGTGGGCCATGCTGGCTCCGTCACGAAGGACGAGCACGGTCTCGGTTGGACATTTCTGACTGAAGCTCTCCAAACCCCGTCACTCCAGTCGTCAAGGTAAACACTATCAAAACCCCCTCTATTTCATTATAAAATCATTTCATACATCCATACGCGCATTTCATTCCATACGCCCGCGCCTCCCCGACGATTCGGGCCCTGAACCACCCAGGGGCTCAGGAACTAAGCATCGCACGTGCAGCGAAATGCATCAGAACGCTCCGTGTTGCGTCACGAAGCGGCGGTTGCCTCATTCAACATAGGGCAACCTATAGAGCCAGGGGAGAAAACCATAGATGAGCACCGTGTGGCCCTAGCCTGGTCCGGCAGATCGGGTCATCTCAACCTTCTCATTCGATCCTAAACCTCTCGCCAGGCCCACAGAATCTCCATCGAAGGGGAGGCCATTAGGCCACCCGGGTCGGTCTTCGAAACGACCAAGGCATCTGTCGGGTTGTAGGTAAAGGAGTAGTGGAATGTCACAAGAGGGCTATGTCGACCCCGTCACGAACGACGGACCCAGATTCCACTCGATCACACCCGTTAGCGAACTCACCGAGCTAGTCTTCGAGCCCGAGCGATCGAGACAGGCGACAAAACTCAGCCCCTTTGGTTGTGAGGAACCGAGGATGAGGTAACGCACAATACTCACATCGACCCCCATGAAGGCCCGATAGGGCTCGGGGGCTCAAGAAAAATGCCAAGGACAGCGACCTCGAACTCGCTAGATCCACGACTCTGACTCGCCCGATCCCGCAGCGCGCACCGACGCCAGGATCCGCAAGCATCGCCTCGTTCGATCTTTAACCAACTAACTATGCTTCGGCTTCAAAACGGCTTCAGACGGCTTCACTGCGCTCCAAATAAATCTGGGACCACGACTTCTAAACTCACGTAACGGCTTCAGACAGCTTCACTGCGCTCCAAAAAACCTTGGGACCGACCCCGAACTCACATCGATAGGATCTATGACATCCGGCTATGGCTCTTGGGACCGCAACCCCAAACTCGCGTCGACAGGATCTATGACATCCGACTACGGCTCCTAGGACCGCGACTCCTAAACTCGCGTAACGACTTCACTTCCGATTGCGCTCCAATCAACCTGGGACCGTGACTCCTAAACTCGCGTAACAGCTTCACTTAGGATCCACGAGCTCCGGCTCGTCCGATTCCTGAACTGACTAAACTAACTCTCGCGATCCACGGCATGCACCGACGCCTGGGTCCATTCGCAGTCCTACCTCGCTCGATCCCACGGCGCGCATTGACGCCAAAGATCAGCGAGCTCCGACACGACCGAACCGAGCTATCACCGTCCGTGGCGCGCACTGACGCCAGCGGTTTCTCCGAACTAACCTTCTCACCCGATCCGCGGCGCGCACCAACGCCAAGATCAGTAAGTTCTGTCTCATCCACGCCTAAAAAACCCCTCGGCTGCACAACGACGCCGCGGTTAAACAAAAATCCGTCTCAAACTAAACACCCGCTGAAACAAACCCCCAGACGGTTCTGCCCGAACCGCCCGAGGGCTCGAGGGCTACACCCGCGGGTGCGCTCGCGCGCACCCGCCAACACAACAGAAAAACCTCCCCCGCTGACAACACAGAAACCCCCCAGCCGATTCTGCCCGAACCGCCTGGGGGCTCGGGGGCTACACCCGCGGGTGCGCTCGCGCGCACCCGCCGGCAGGACAAAAATTCCCCGGACGATTATGCTTAAATCGCCCGGGCGCTCGGGGGCTCCTGTCGGGTTCATAAACCTAGGGTCCCTCGAGGACCGGCTTCTATGCCAGGGCTCGGCCCAGGAAAACGGCATGTAGTTCATGGGCCGGCCCAAGGGCCTAAGACACGACGGGCCGGAGGGACAGTCCGGTCGCCGACTGGAAGGTCTACCCAAAAACAGGCGCTCGCTCGTCAAACTCTCCGGCCCACCTCTCCGACTGGAGCATTCGCTTTGGGCACCAGCCGCCTCCGGGCGGTCTCCTCGATCGGAAAGGCCTGGCCCAAAGCACCGCTTCCTACTCCGACCCCACGTCTCCGACCGGGGACCCCGTAGGAAGCCTGCTTACCACTCTTCTCCGACTGGCGCGGCTAGGGCCGACTGGGGCCATCCAACCGGGGACATCCGCTCGGAAGGGACCAGGGACAAACAGAGAAGGCAGTGCACAAAGTCAAACCTCGATACCGGGACCATACCCTGTACGCCTGCGGGAACAGTGCTCCTCAACCGCCCTGAAACAAACAGTATTGTAGGCGCCGACATTTGTGTCTACAGTATTGTAGGCGCCATCAGGCTCCCATACGGCAAAACGCCTTCCACATACCTCTAGGCATCGATAGTGGGCGCTAGGGTTCACCATACCTGGTACACAAGGTAGGGCTCCTCACACACCAATAGTATTTTGCAGGTACCGACATCCACCCTTTCTGAAGAAGCCAACGCAACCTCCCATGTGCACCTGACGTTATATAGTGACTTCAACAGTATTGTAGGTGGCTACCATCATCACTATCCTCATCGGCGTGGGCAACAAGGCTTAGAAACATCCGTACTCTCTTTCTCTCACCTGCAAAGCCATCCCCTTTATCTATAAAAGGGGTTGCGCTTCCTCCAACGAAGGAGGTCCACTTTTTCAAGTTTAGGCTCACTAGATCAATAGCTCAAAAACCCCTTAAGCACATGCTTGAATACCTAGCTCATAGCGGAGTTCCGGTCGCCCTCAACCCTTCCGGTCGGACCCGATCGGGCCTCTCGTACACCCCTCCTTTCTACTTCTCGTTTGTAACCTCACTACAGACTTCGAGCACCTGGGCTCAAGAATAAAGTCACCGACCGACCCACACTGGACGTAGGGCACGTTGCCTAAACCAGTATAAATCCTGTGTCATTGAGTGCTAGGCCACCTCCGATCACAACGTACAACAAAACTACAAATATTCACTAGTTGGTCACTTTCTGTACCGACAAAATATATATATATATATATATATATATATATTATTTCCTACTCCCAGGCAGTAGTTACTCCCATGTGTATATCTCTAGATTTAGAGCGTATATGGCCCGACGAAGTGTATGTAGATGGAGTATATCATCATACTATACTATATAGGGTACTATGTATGACAAGTATGTATGTATACTTAGAGTATATGATTATACTTATTTTATATGCTACTATCATAGTATTATATGATATATTAAAAAAATATGTGATCTTTTAATTTTTTTTCACATAGTAAAGATCTGGAGTATCTTAATATTAGTATGTCAACATACTCAAACTGATAAATGAGTATATATATACGCAACGTGATTTATTGATTATGAGAGTAACTACTCCCGAGATATATATAATATATATATATATATATATATATATAGCGCTAAATTGGCAAAACGCCTAGGCTAGCTAGCGCCTAGCGCTTTGAGTTAGGTAAGCCTAGGCCTCTATAATGATTTTGAGGCTAGGGTCAGCGCCTAAACCCTACTTGATCCGCTTCTTTTTCAACTTTGATCAAATGTTAGGTAAATTAGTGGTTGCTAATGCTTTGAGCCTCTATAATGATTTTGAAGTGACTGAAATTAAGCTTTAATGGCCCCGTTCGCGTGTCCTTAAACCCTACTTGGTCCGCTTCTTTTTTCATCCGGAATAGTGTTTTACTCTCACAGATTCCTCCATATTTCTCCGAGCGAACGGGGCCAATGCTAATTTATACTCTTGGTCACGATTGAATTTCTCACTTGGTCACTTCTGCACTTGGCAGCAGTGAACAGCTCTTTCTGTTATTAGTATGATAATGTTGTTGTGATATAAGAATGTCAATTTGAACATGTCATCCAGGGTTTGTCCTGAATTGTTTTTGTTTACCTGTTTGGTGTTGGAAGCCATCAACTGTGGAATCAATCCCCATGCTTATAACAATGTTATGGGGCCTGGAGATATGTTAAATTGTTGAAGTCAACCCAAAATTGTCAGAATAGGCCCCCAGTAAGTATATGAGTAGGTGTAGTTTATATCTGCAGTGTGTACTCTTTTCCATGAATCAACTCAGTTTTAGTACTTAGAAAGTGGTTGAGGATATACATTATATTTCCATTGCTCAAAATGGAATTACAGGCATTTCTTAGTTTGATATTTCTTTATCCATATATTTTCCAGAGATATTTTATTGATTTGAACAAGATTGTGTTGAGGTTTTCCTGTTATTGTTCGCTTGATAATCTCTGTGTGTAATTGATGCTACAATGTTGTGTGTTTACGCATGCTGAATGTGCCATTTTTTACCACAAACCCCTCTTTTAGATATATGAGGGGATTTCTACTTGTAAATTCAAACAATGAATAAGTTCAATCATTTTCACAGAGGAACTATGGGCTATGAAGCTGGGCTTGAGGTTGCTTCAAGAAAGGGCCAAATCTGATTCATTTTGGTGGCCTTATATTGCCAATTTGCCAGAGACATTTACTGTTCCAATCTTCTTTCCTGGGGAAGACAAAAAACTTGCAGTATGCTCCTCTCCTCCACCAGGTTGTTAAATACATATGGTTGTATCTAGAGGGAGGCCTATCATTTTGCCCTTACTTTTCTAACTGATTCTATTTCAGGTTAATAAAAGATGTCGTTTTCTCCTTGAGTTTGAGAAAGAGATACAGCAGAAGCTTCATACTGTGCCCTCGGTAGATCTCCTTTCTATGGACAAGATGTAAATTCATCTTCCCTTGGATGGGCTATGTCAGCTGCCTCTTCTCGTGCATTCCGATTGCATGGTGAAATCCCAATGTTGTTGCCTCTTATTGATATGTGCAACCATAGTTTCAACCCAAATGCTAGGATTGTTCAGGAAGGAAGTGTAAACAGCTTAGACATGTCAGTAAAGGTAAGTATCCTGTGATGTTCTTGCACTCCTAAATTTTCCATCTATACACTCCTGAAAATTTTGTTCCAGAATCAAGCTATCTTTTTCCTCTTTCTCATATCCACTTTTCAAATGGGGATGGTATTATTGGATTATTCTTATTACTATGAAAATATTTGCCTTTCACAAAATTTCTACTTCGATCTCTACTTGTCATTTGATACGCTCATTCCTTACATCTCTGTGCACAATTGTAACATCCATCATCCATGTATCAGTCGTGTTCTTCCCTACTCTTTTTCATATACAATTTCATATGTTGGAATGCACTTGTTAGCCATGCAACACTTAAATCAACTTATCACCCTACTTTAAGCTATCTCTGTGCCATTGCTAGCCACTGTTCGTCTAGTGAGCAATGCCATACTGTAATAAATATTTTGTCACTTCTGAACCTATAGGTGACTAATGTTCTCGATTAGTACCAAAAAATGCAAAGTTGTGGCACATTAAAGTGCATTTAGTCAACTGATTTACCGGGAGCATATTGCTTTTAGTCCATAATTTCCTTGTTTGTGTAATATGCAAGATAAGTCTATTGACTTGTCTTCACATTTATATTGCTTTATATAGGTTTTCGCTGAGAAGAAGATTGAGCAAAATGCATCAATAACACTGAACTATGGCTGCCACCCAAATGATTTCTTTCTTCTTGATTATGGATTTGTGATAACACCGAATCCTTACGATCAAAGTGGAACTAAGTTATGATGGAACCCTTCTTGATGCTGCAAGCATGGCAGCAGGAGTCTCTTCTCCCAACTTTTCAGCGCCAGCCAAGTGGCAACAAGATATATTGTCACAGCTAAATCTGCATGGAGAGGGTTCCGTTTTAAAGGTTTTTTCCCACATTCTTAACTTGCTTGTATATCTTGTGGTACATACTGAGTCCACGTCTACTTAATATTGAATGCAGTATTCATGTATGCTAAGTCTCACACATGCTATGGGCAATACATGTGATTTCTTTCAGGTAAGCTTAGCAGGTCCAGACAGTGTTGATGGACGCTTGTTAGCTGCTCTAAGGGTGCTTCTTGCGGATGATCCAGAGGCTGTGCACAAGCATGACCTGAAAACACTGATGTCCCTTGGTGTGCTAGTTCCTTTAGGCCCCGCTATTGAAGCATCAGTATTCCGAACAGTTCTTGCCCTTTGTGCGATTGCTCTCCAACACTTCCACACAAAGATAATGGACGACGAGGCCATTCTAAGAGGGGGGCTACCTCTTACCACGGAGGTGGCCGTCCAGTTTAGATTGCAGAAGAAGTTCATGATCGTTGACGTGATGCAGAATATCAGCAGGAGAATCAAGATGCTATCCCCACAGAAATCCACTGCGTAGTTCTTTAATTTGTCGTCAGACAATCAGTTACCATTCTGTACTGGCTACTGCAGATATCACAAGCCCCAGTTTTGATTGTGTACCATATTCTTGTCATCCTACTTCCAATGCCTGACATTGAAAAGTTACATCTGCATCCAACAATCAATTAGTTTCCTGTACTGATTATTGCGTATAATAATAAGCCTCAATTTTGACGCTTCTACCATTTTGTTTTCTTTCTTCCTACTTCCTGTGTGCCGAACACGAATTAGTTGCATCTTCTTGGCTGCTCAAAGGGTGTTTCTCAGTGTGTAACACGTTTAAATGTCTTGCGCAAGTTTCAACTGATCTCTATATGAAGAGTTAAGCCTTAAAAGAGTGTAGTGGAAATGAAGCAGAACCATGATGTTCTTGATTCTGAAATTCCTGAAGAGTAATAATAAAGCCTTAAAAGAGTGGCGGTAATGAAGCGAAGCAGAACCATGATATTCTTGATTCTGAAGTTCCTTATCATCCGATTAACTGGGGTGCTTCACATAGAAAGAAATGTTTTCACGGTATGACTAGAGAAAACTGTAATTACCCAGCTACCGCAAAAATATTTCCAAGAAAACAGAAACAATTGCCCTCAAAGAAGAAATCTTTCCATATTTTCTCCCCGAAACCTAAGCAAATAGAGAATTGTTCATCACCCTGTAGATCGATCGAATGATGAAAGAAAATATATTTACATGATTGATCCATTATATCACCCTAAAAACAATAGAATAAAAATGTTGTGTTCATCTCAACGAGCACTCCGACCATGCCAAGAACAAGACGACGACGAACGAAACGGATCCTAACAACGATCGATCAATCGACCCTAACGAGGGAAGGGAAGAGCGAAGGCGAGACGATGATGATGCGACGACGACCGCCGACCGAGGACGCCTTCTCCACCACCCCGGCCCTCCCGAGGGGATCGATCGGCTTGAATGAATGAATTCCATAGGACTAGGAGTCACCGCCGATGGAGATGGCGGTGCGGGCGACGCGGCCGAGCGGGGAGCGGGAGCGCTGCCTGTCGAGGTCCCGGAGGACGAGGCGCATCTCGGAGGCGTGTTGGTGCTGGTACGTCTCGTGCACCGTGACCCGCTCGTCCTCCTCCTGCTTGATCCGCCGCACCTGGCTGTGCACCACCACCACCTGCTGCTGCTGCTGCTGCCGCCCTGCTTCCTGGTGCTCCCTGATCTGCTTCTCCATCATCATCTTCTGATCTCGGCAGCCTGCCTTTTTATTTCTCACGGGAGTAACCTAAGATCTAATCTCTTCTTCGGCGAAGGTGATCTCTACCGTACCATTTGATTGGAATTTGGATGAACGCGGCGCGGCGCATGGGAGGGAGGGAAAGGGAAACTCGATCGGGGGACGTATAAATAGGGGGCAACTAGGAGGGGAAGGGGTCGGTTCCTCCCCGTCCACGCCCGAGGAGGAGGAGTGGCGGACACGTGTCCTCGCTCCTCCCCTCCTGGCCGTTTACCAGATCCGCGTCGCGTCGTCGCGTCTGACCGATCGGGCCGCTCCAGCCAACGAGCATTTCCCGGCGTCGGCACTCGCGTTCGTCCATGTGTGTGCCGCGGCAGCACGCGTTGGCGTTGAGAGGGACGCGACGGCGCTGATCGGCGCGCGGACGTGTCCTGCGTGCGGCGTGCGTGCTTGCCGCGTCTGGCTCGGCTAGGCGAGGCGAGGGAAACGTTTACCATGCACATGTACGCATGCGGGTTGCCGAGTGGGGGAAAAAAGGCTGGGCGCGTCGGGTTGTACCGGATGATGGATGGATCATGGACACGTGGTTGTGTGAACTGCGAGAGGTGAAGCACTGAAGCCGGAGCGCCGCCCTGCCCCCGGAGGCCGGAGGGGAGGAGTCCAGAAACTGGCGTGACACGAGTCAAGAAGCGTCATGTGCCACACGAGTAAAACCGTGGGGGAACCGGCCACGCCTGGTGGATCGGCCGACCGCCGACGTCGCAGGCGTTGGTGGATGCGTACGAGTACGACAGGGCAAAGGCAAACGTGCCGGATGAGTTAATCCATTTATTTTTCATCATCAGTGTTGTGGCGAAACGTGTTTTGAATGAGTTCATTTCTGGGGCTCGCTTTTTTGGCACGGCTGAATAACAGGGAACCGAATTGTTCAGGAGGGGATATATCCGTACGAATGAGTCTAGTTGTGAGATTGATTTCGCGAATTTTTGCATGGTCAAGTTCAGGTACCAAGAGAAAATTGTATTTATTTATGTTTTTTTTATTAGGGTCATGTTTCTGATTTATGTCATATAAAATGAATAAAACTTGGATTACTCTCAATGGAAAGTTTCATGTTATAGTATTATTATAGACATTTAATTTCATGACTTAAAGAGAGTTGGTAATCGTGCCAAAAGAATTTTATCCCCATGAAATTTATTTCTTCTCTCTTGTTAAATAGATTGCCATGTCATAAAAAATGCTATGTAACAACTTATCTAATGCATATGAAACACCGCCTAAATCAATGCTCAAAGTACCGAGATCGATCTTCATCAAATCAAAAGGAATAAATACGGAAAACAAAGAACTGAGCTGTAAATCCATAGCCCGCGTTAGATGTACAGGCCTGCTCCTATGAACATCGAGGGGCTTTTCAGGCCGGAAATTCCAGCCCAAATACAGATCCCCATGGACGAACTCGACCGGCCTGCTTCTCCACTCGAGTCGTCCGCTTGAGCCCAAATACAGAGGTAATTACGGAGGGATGGACAGTATCGGTTAGAGACGGATGGAATGGAATGTTTCTCATATTATTTAATATTTTATATATAATAAATATATACTTTTCTTAGAAAATGTCAATCAATAATAATAAACTTGAAAAAAGGCTTTACCCGCCGTATTGCGCATGGCTGGCCTCGCCTGTCGTCGTCTCCAAATCCAATAGAATCATCAGTCACCTTCATTCACACCCGACCTTTATCCGCGCTACTAGTCCACAGACCTGATCTGTTTATCAGCAAGCGCTCGTCCCGAGGCGGTAGGGGTTATTCCCCCTCGCCCGCCCGCCCGCTCGTGATTTCGCTTCAAAAGAGTTGAAAAGCGCAAGCCGATCGAGCAAGAAAGCAAACCTATCTCAAATTCTCAGTCCCCAAGCCGAATGGTCAGTTGTCCTATCCGACTCCAGTTGTTGGTGTCTTCTTGTCTCGACGCCAACCAACCGAAGCTTTCTCTGGCGATGATTCTGCTGGTAGTTGCCTCCGGGCTCCGGCCTGTTTGGCTGTACTGGCTTGTTCGTTGTTGGTTTACGCCAACCAACCGAACCTTTCTCCGGTGAGGATTCTGCTGGTAGTTTTATATCAGTGCCCGCGTGGGGCTGGCCAGCGGCTGATCGAATGCGAATGCATGGCCCGCTGCGTCGCGTCGCGTTGCGCCGCGCGTGGAGATGACATGGACTCCACGGGGCCCGTCACATGCGGCGGAGCAGCAACGAGCTGGCCCAGACCGACCATGCGGGTGGACCGTGGAAACACGGCGCGGCCACGCGATTCTGTGATGACCGGCGAGCTCCGATCCCCGATATGCACGGAAATAACCAGCTGACGGAGAATATTTTCCTCGATCATGGCCTCCAAAAAAGCGATCGCATCGAACCTTCAACCGGGTCGCTGTTCGCCTATTATTCGTATCAAGAACGGCTTGCTGTCATTTTCCTCTTTTATCTTCGTAATAAGTGGAGACGTGTCAGAAATCGTCGAGGTAGCCAGGCTGGAGCATGCAGTAACCATAACCACGACACCCACAAAAGAACATGAGGGTCGGTGTCGTCCGTCCTTCTCGAGCTTCGGCGCCGTTCACACTTCACAGTGGTCAGGATCAGTGACGGGTCTTGCATTGCTCGCTGCCACGCTGCGCTCCAAATCGATCGATCAGGGAACCGTGTCGCTCTGGTTTACAGCCACATGTGTGGTTGCGGGGCTCAGGCATGTCATCGACCATGCATGTCACTGTCCTCCCTCCGTTTTCAGGGACTCCCTCTGGTGAATGACGAGCGATAGAAGACTGCTCTGCAGATATATATCCCGTTAATTTGTTTCTCTCCAGGCTCCAGCCACGATGATTATCTACAACTGGGATGCCCCAGCTCGATCCACAGCTGTGTTTGTGTTGGTCTCTTCTCTGGCGGGATTGGAGTACCTAGCTAGCTGCACACGCCGCCGGCCCATATGCTAGGCAAATGAGGTAGCGGTGATTGTCAAACAATCCATGTGGCCAGTAACATGCGTCGATCGATGTGGTCAGTTCTACTGAACAATCGCCTTCTGGATGCATGCATATGGCCCCTGTTGTAATTGTAACAAGCTTTTAGTCAGGATGTGGTAGCTAATTATAGCTAACACTGCCGAATATTTCAGTATGGAAGAGCTGGAGTGTCGAGACTAGGGCGAACCCAATGACTAGTCCACAAAGGGGGGCACAAACTTGAAAGAATTCTTCAAACGTACTACATAAAATCTGAGATTCTTCAGTGAGGTTCACCGGTTAGGGTTTGTTTAGTTGACGAATTTTTTTGAAAAATAGTACTGTAGCACTTTTGTTGTTATTTGACAATTAGTGTTCAATCATAGTCTAATTAGACTTAAAAGATTCGTCTCGTGAACTTCGTCTAAACTGTGTAATTAATTTTATTTTTTATTTATATTTAATACTTCATACGTGCGTCTAAAAATTCGATGTGACGAAGAATCTTAAAAAATTTTACAAAATTTTGGGAACTCTGAAACACACACCTGCTACTGCCTACTGCATGCATGCCAGTGATGAGACATTCAGCGATCCGCCTAGGAATGCGTGTGGGAAATATTCAATGTATGGCACCGTTTTTTTCTTTAAGATCGGTGTGAATCAGAACGGTCAAGATCTGCACAGTTTGCATCTGGAGACTGATGAATTGCATATGTTATGCATGACGCAGATGCCGTATGTACAATTCAGGGCAGCTCAATTTGCTTCTAATAAGGGTCATTGGCACAGGAATATAATCAGGCCGTCATCACCTTCCAAGTAACTCACATGGGTCGCTAAACTATTAATTGGATCCGATTGTGATAACGACTATATCAGGGAAGCCAAGGTTCAGTTTAGTTACAAAAATTTTGCAAAATTTTTCAAGATTCTCGTCACATCGAATCTTTGGACGCATGCATAAAGCATTAAATATAAATAAAAAATAAAACTAATTACACAGTTTAGACAAAATCAACGAGACGAATCTTTTAAGCCTAATTAGACTATGATTAAACACTAATTGCCAAATAACAACGAAAACTGCTACAGTTACATTTTACCAAAATTTTCGGATCTAAACAAGCCCCAAGATGATCGACTACAAACTCGTTACTGGCAAAATCATACAATATGTACTAGCTCGTTCCATCGATCGCCATCATTATTCGTCATATCTCGTTGACCTCAACTCACATTATATTCTTGCGATCATCCATGATAGATTGATTGTTAGTTTCACAGTTTCATGGAAAATCACCAGCCAATTTCTTGAAATAGTTTCTGCATGCTCCACTTTCAGCTATTAGTCTTAGCCCAAGTTACGTACGTCTGTTAACCTGAATTATTCCTGCCCCACGTGCACACTGTGTACGGAGAACATTACAGTACACTACATGAGAGTGATGATAGATTTGACAGGATCATTTAGCCATAGATCTAGCATGTATACTGACATTTGGGATAAATAGTAAGTCCTAAAACATGAACTAGTATATGATTTACAGATAGAGTGAGAGAGAGAGAGAGAGGTTGCAGAGACGCAAACCATCGGCCGCCTTCGAGGAAGACTCTGGCTATGGCGGTGCTTGTCGGTGACGCGGTGAAGTCCGACGGTGAAGGCGCGGTCGCAATGGTGGCGGTGCAGAGACGGCGGTGGCCGGTGGTGGTGCTTTTCGTCGCTGGTAGCGCCCCCTCTCTAGATCGGCTAGGGTTAGGATGTAGGTGGGGTGCTGGCGGCTCAGGTGAACCTTATACCTTGTGCTCCGGCCCCCACCTCCCTTTTATATGGTGTTGTATGACGTGGACCCACCAATCATGGAGAGTGGTTGGGCGCCCCTAATCGGGGCACGGATCCAAAGGCCCAAATGGCCGTTGGGCCAATTGGTGGAGATCAATCTAATATTCTCTCTCCTAATCTCACCTTATGACTTAAACTTAACTTACTTACTTTA